CTGCTGAGGTTCAGACCAACAGCAAAGCAGGACCAGTGAGACTGGCTCAGCAGAAGGGGACACAGGGGGCTGCCTGGTGGCCTGAGGGTTGGTTACAGGGCCATGGGCACTTAGTCTGCAGAGTCAGTGTGTCAGTGGAGAGGACTCCAATATTCTGTTCTCCAGAGTGTGTCCTGTCCAGCTTGTGTACCCCATATCGGTGCACCTTGGGGACATACCTGGTGAAGAGCATGTTCCTGCTTTGTTTTGATTTTTGTGTGCTCAGCCGCCCTGAGGGTGAGGATGGTGCAGCATGTGGTGCCAGGAGTGTGCGGTGTGTGGGGGTGAGGGAGGGGGTCGAGCCACAGTCCCCTGCGCCTGCCTAAGCTTGCCTAAGCAGGCACTTTAGGCCCCTGAGCTATCTCTCTGGTCCCTGGTTTTAAAGCCACCTCAGCCTTCAGGTCCCTTCCGGATGAAGTGATCTATCAGACGCTGTCTTGGGTCGCACACTCGAGGCTGCCCTTGTCTCTGCAGCCCTGAGTTTCCACCTTGGATTCAGACTCCAACTCCAGCTCCTGGGCTCAGTCCTCGGGTCTCCCGCCCTGAAGTCCCTCTCTGGGTGCCCTGGGGGCTCAGGAGGTAGTTTCAGTTATACAGAGCCCCTTCCAACCTTGTGTTTCAGAGTGAAAAGATGTCTCAGCCAAAAATTGCTTTCCTTGTTCTCACTTGATTCTCTCTTTCGACTGTGTTGTGGGCAGAAATTCAGAATCGGCTGCTACAGGAGAGGAAACCAGGCTGTGCGGAAGTGGCTGCCTCTGTGACCTGCTGGTTTTTCTAGAGCTGAGCTCTTGGCTCTGACCCCTGCATTAGAGAGAGAGAGAGAGAGAGAGAGAGAGAGAGAGAGAGAGAGAGAGATCGCAGATGCTCTGAGCCTGTTTGCTGATTGGTACAGGGGAAACTAAGCTTTAGTTTCCTTGTCTGTGAAGTGGGTGTCTGTCACTCCACATGCTGTCATTACTAGGCCAGACCCCTTCACCTTCCCTATTGCACAGGGCAACAGAGGCCAATCTTTCCCATAGTTCTAGAACCTTCTCTTGCTCCCAGTAAATCTTCTTCTGTGGCACCCTGAGGGCTGCCCTATCCTTTCTTGGTCTTTTAAACTGTGCTTCCCATTCTTGAAGGGTCCCTTCATTAAACCCTTTTCAGTCGCCCCATGAGTGTGTCCACTGTCTCCACCAGGCCTGGCTGCTGCAGGAACAACTACCAACCCAGCTTCAGGCAGCAAGACTGCTATGCGCTGGGCTTCAGGGATCAGGCCTCTCTCCCAGCTTGCTCAGTGCATAACGAACCTCCTGGACAGGCGATAATAGTCAGTGGCAATCTGTGGCGAGTGGTGACATCACAGTTACTCATTTTGTGACCAGTGGTCATACAAGAGAACCACCAAGAAGCTGGCAGATCAAGTGGCTGTGGCACTTCATCACTATGGTGACAAGTGTGACTAAGAAACAGTGACAAGGATGGTGGTATGGGCCTCTGATCCCATCTGGCTCCCTAGAAACACAATAAGCAGGACAGCTTGAAAGCCCTGAATTCCCAATTCAGTGCAAGGGTGGAGTCAGAAAGGCCTAGGGAAGCTCTAGAAGAATCTTTGCTCTCAAGCACCAGAGGGCGGTTATAGCTATGGTGAAGAACCGGTTTCAGGGTGACCTGCTACGCCTCTTACACTGAGAGAAAGGCCCTGGGTAGGAAGGAGTGGGGGCCAAGACACAGGACGGGGCCCTTTGGCTAGAACTCTGACAGGGCACCCTCACCTTCAGCCTGAGGCAAAAAGTGTCACACAAAGCCCGCCTCACCTCCAGGGCTACAGTGAGAATTACATCCCAGGCCAGCCCTGCTGCAGCCCTGCTGTACCCACTCCATGCCCGCTAAAGGGGGAGGCAGTTTGCACACTGGTGGCAGAATCGTGCCAGTTTGTATTGGCAGAGCCTAGGTGGCATCTGAGATGAAATGGGGCCGAGTTGCTTGGCAGGGGGGCGTTCACCCAGGACCGGGGCTGTGCTGGTGGCTCACCCTGTGGCATAGCTAACCGGAACACTGGCCTCCCAAGAAGGAGGCTGAGGGATGGCAGTTTCCCAACAAGTCCCAGAGGAAGGCTAAGGAAGAGGGGAACTTTGGACAGAATGTGTCTCTTCTGTCCAACCACCCTCTTCCCAGCATCCCGAAATTGTGTTCTCTTTTTCCTATGCGCCAGAGGTCAGGTGGCAGATACAAGTGAGCTTGGTTTTCTGACCCAATGAGAAGGAGGCCTTGTAAGGTAGGAGCCCCCGTGATGGCAATGAGCCATCGCCCAAGTATGTTTTGTTTGGTTTCATTTTGAATCCAGCCCAGGGGAGGAATGGCAATGGGGGTGCACCTGGAGCAGTGTGGAGTATCGCTGATCGTGGAGTCTCCAGTCTCCTGTCAAAGGGAGCTGCCATCTAATTTTTTTTAACGTAAGTAAGCAGAAAACTCTATTAAGTCTGGTGAGCAGAAAGCTGATTTATTTTCCTAATAGGCATCCACTGCCTCTTCCTAAATCCCTGTGCAGAAGGGCCCCACCATGCTGCCCTAAAGTGTGTACTGTGAATTTCCCCCAGCAGGACTGACGGGCTCCTTGTGAAAGGGGAGAATCCTGGCTCTGCAGTGATGACAGCCCCTGGAGATCCATCATGGTCCATCAGTTAGAGTCGGGGCTGATGGAGGTTAGGCAACAGATGGCCATCCCCTGCCCATCTACCAAATGGCAGGAACCCCATGACACCCCCCCTGCTCCCCGCTGACTTTCTGAGGAACAAGGTCTCTAGGGAGTGGAAGGACCAAATGGAAGCTCTTGAACTTTCCATCCAAACAGCAAGCCAGCCAGGTGTGTACACCTATAATCCCAGCACTCTCAGAGGCTGAGGCAGGAGGACTGCAAGCTGGAGCCCAGTTTGGACAGCTTAGCTGAGTGCAAGTGGATCAGGGAAAAAGCACCACAAACAAACAACCCAAAGATTATACTGCACCCCTGAGGGAATTTCAGGGATTAGTGCCACCATCAAAGCTTCAGGAGATCTAGAGGCAGTTTTTCCTGTCCTCATTCAGTTTTTTGTTTGCTTTGTTTTTGAGATAGGGTCTCACTTGCAGTCCAGGCTGGCCTCGAACTCAGCCATCATCCTGCCTCAGCCTGTTGAGTGCTGGCATTACAGGCATGTGCCACCCTAGCCAGCCTAAAGGGACATGGATCATCCTGACATAGTTCAAAATATTATGCTTGATTGGGCATGGTGGCACACGCTTGTATCCTAGCAGTTGGTAGGCTGAGGCGGGAGGAGCACTGGGAGCTTGAGGCCAACCTGGGCTGCTTAACAACATCTTGTCAGAGAGAGAGAGAGAGAGAGAGAGAGAGAGAGAGAGAGAGAGAGAGA